ACCTCGCATCCCTACAAAGCCGGGACGGAGCACGCCGGGTTCTCACCGGACCAGGCTCTCACATCACCAAGCGCGAAGCGCCGTGAGGTATACACCGGCGGGGGGGGGAGGGCATTGGATGTACTCCTGTTCACCCGGAGCATGTTACGTTTGGCGAGCAAGAGTCTTGTATAGTGTGAGAGAGGAGGGATACATTCGTGACCGCGTGTGGGTCTGTTTTGGCTCTGCGAGTAGCACGTATTTCGTACAACGGAGGGAAGGCTGCCGTATCACCCCCCACACACACATACTGCTCATGCTTAAGATCTCCACCACTGCTGAAACCAGGGCACACTCTCCTGCATACACACGACGACCAACGTAAATCGATGGACCACAATCCCCCCCCTTTGCAATGCCCTGCCCACCCCGTGCCAATCAGGTGGACAAGGACGAGGACCTCCGATTCGCCTTGCTCGTTGAGGCGTTCGGCGACGCGGATAGCTCGGGGGTAGCCCTGATAACGGACCTGGTGGTGTTCTTCAACACCATCTTGTCGAGCGCGTTCGAGTTTGAAGAGCGAGTCATGCTCCGGACCGAGATGATATCAGCGGGGGTGCTGGAGGCGATGCAGCGCGTCCGGGACTACTTCGGCCTTTCCTCCAAGGTGCGGTGCCGCCGGGATGGGATGGGATGGGACGGGATGAGATGGGATGGGACGGGATGGGACGGGAAGAGATGGGACGGGGCGGGATGACATGGGATGGGCCGGGACGGAATGGGGTGAGACATGAACACGGAGAAAAAACAACCCAATTTTTCCCAGGCGTTGCAACACGCCTCCCTTGTTTTACGCTCGTGCTATTATGTGAGGAGGCGTTTTACCCTCTGCAACGGCCTCGCCGTGATGCTCGATTGTGCTCTTGCCTCGCTGCTGCTGACGCGTACTTTGACATCGGATGCATACCAGAATAAACCCAAGGATTTGAGCGATCTCCGTCCAGTGCTGACGCCGACATTCCTCCCTGTTTTTCCCTCGTGTCGTCGTGTGGGGTGGTTACGCCCGCTGTCTTCGTTTTTCCGCTGGGGGATCCGCCACCTGACGGGATCGGGGGGGG